ACGTAACTATAACATTTAATAACTATAGTTATGGATTACTGTATGTTTTTTTTATTAAATTGAGTAGCCGATATTTAAAACATAGGTCCTAACCGGTATAGGATATAAAAAAATAAACACGTTTATCATTTTAACTAATAATAAACAAGTCATATAAAACGTGATTTCACAACAAAGTCAACAATACAATGAGATTGAGCTAATTGTTATCACGAATACCCTCAATTTGTATTTTTTTAAATGTGGTACATCAAGTTAGCGACCACTTTGTATTTTATATTAAAATATTAAAGACAGTTCATATTCAAATACCAAACAAATTATTGTTGAATGTTTAAGCAATAAATCATAGTGATACTGTGAATATTACATAACAATTGTTTACAAAGAATATGCGAAAGAATTTTAAACCTAAATTACAAGTACAATTAAATTACAATTAATTACAACTCTTGTAAATAATTTTCGGATTCTCTAAGTAAATATATTGAAGTTTTCTTCAAACTATATTCTAACAATTATTATATAAATATATTACTGACTTTAACACAGAAACCAATCCTTAACAATCCATATAAGATGAATAATTAACTGACTTTTATATGTTCTTCCATTTTAGTTTTTCCAAATCCAAGATTACGTAAAACATGCATGGAAAACCGCCTTTGCTCTTTCCACCAACGTCCATTGATTGTCACTATGGCTAAAAACAAAAGAAAATCGAAAATGTTCCTAATTATATACCATAGGCTAGATACATCAATTTAGTTAATAAATATGAATTAATTTTTTACTCTTTAACAAACTTATTATTGAGGCTTGTGACCTTCAGGTAGTCAAATATATATATAAATCTATTTTAGTATTATATGGCTCAGTTGAAAAAAGCACCGGGAAATTTTGTCTACAAGAATACCCCTCACCAAACGTTTAATCAAGACATTTTGAAGGAAACTCGCTTTAAATCCGCCAGTTTCTATTATAGCTCGCAAAAAACAACAACCAAACTTTATATTAAAGATTGAAGTAATTAATTCTAAAAGTTATTAGATAATACAATACTAGCTACTTTTTTAATTTTTGACTTGTTTTTAAAAATTATTCATGTTATTATGTTGACAAGAAAATTATAGGATTTTTCTTCTATTAAACGGTGGGTGAGAGTTTAGTTTACAGACTAAAATATTTAAAATCCGAGGTTTGATTCCCAGTGGTAGCCTAGATAGCTAAGAGTGCACTAAACCAAGCAAACCACTTCTTTCAAATACTATTTAGCCAGTATTATGATGGAAAATAATTTACAAAAAATAATTCAGAACTATATCAATACGGAAAACAAGAAGTTGTCACTTACGTTAGTATTATGTCTCACACAGAAACACATAGTACTCACAATTGAAAGATTGAAACAATACTGTAAATGTCTTCCTTGTATATTATAATGGTACTGAGCAAATATGAAAAAGGATTTCTCATTTCTTTAGAGTAGTTCAAGTTATAAATATGTATTCAGTTGTTTAAATACAAGTTTTACTTGGTATATGTTTTTTGCACATAGTTTAAAAGTTTATTGGTAAAGAGAAGGTTTGAGCATACCCCAATTAATTAGGTACGGCCTATATTCGATTAAAGAGATAAATTAACACTGTAACTTTCTACGTTTTTTGCTTTAGTTAATATTATCAATGAATAAAATCAATTATCTTGAAATTAAAGATGACGTCTATAATATTAATGTAAAGGAAGTCATTTATACATTTCAATTTTTAAGTTTATCGGCTTATCAGTTAAGTTTGCCAGCAGCAGCCAAGAGTCTTGGCCTTGTTCTGTTAGTAGTACTGTTTTTAAGCGCTTTAGCTCAGCGAAATAAGGAAATATTTTAATATATAGGTGTAGTCACCAAACGAGTTTGTTGAAATGGAACCTGTTATAATAATACGCAGATTTTATCTGTCCTGAAAATGTGCGTTAACCTTACTAAGTGCGCAAGGTGGATATAAATATGCTTTAGTAGACATTTTTTACAACGTATTAAAAACGTAATTTACAGAAGAAAAATGACATTATCACAAATTAATCTTTTTATTTCTCGGATTTTGCTTTTTTGGACAGTAATTTGTTCGTGAAGTGGAATTAAAGAAGTTCCATCAAGATCATGTGTCGTAACTAGTAACGTCATTGAAATAAACTGTTATCATGAAAGTAAACATACATATAAAATCTGGTGTTGGTTGAAACTGTGTATCTGGCGGTCGTCCAAGAAAAGCATCTTTATTCATAGCCTCCTTAACAGCGAGGAAATCACACAGGATCACGACATTTTGGCTGCCCAAACGAAGACTATAGAGAAAGACAAGCATTTAATTTCTTAGGTTCGCTAGTTCAGTTGCAAAATAATAACTTTTCAATATTTTTGATCACTATATGATGAAAGAAGAAAATGTAACATCTAATTTTGTCTTTTGAAATGTTTTCTCGATAAAAACTCATACCGAAATATTTGCTTTTAATGTGACGCTGTCTGTTGTTTATATTTGTAAGTACAACTTGATGAATATTACAAAAGTCTAGATAATTGTTCCATAGACTTTCATACTCTTGTTACGTGTTTTTATTTTATCTGTTTTGATATAAACTTATTTTTACGTTAATACATTGTGACACTGACGCCCCTACCGTGTGAAGGAGAAGAAAACAGTAGATTATATAGACAATATATAATTAACAACGAGATAGGTCACTAATAGTGACTAAATATTACCACAAAATCATATCCAAGATTATTCATTCACATGTAAAAGCGTATGAGGGATTTTAATGTTAAACAATGTTTACTTAATAACCCAGAAGGTATTCTCAGATGGATTATAGAACATGTAACAAGAATAAGACAAAGCCATAAATAGTTAGGATGCCAAGTAAAACAGGAAATGATACCGCCTCACGCTGATTGGCTGCATCAGGCTACAAGTGGGAGGGGATGGAACTTGAGACCAAGAGGATACGTGAAGTCATAGTTCGAAGTTGTTTTACCAGAGCATGCGTTGCTAGGGGAACCCACTTTGAGACTAATAATGCTTGGAGACGGCTTGAATGGGTAATGAAGGAACTCTTTAATATAAATTTAACGTAACAGCAAATGTACAACGTTTTGACAAGAGTTTCTTCATTGCCCATTCAAGCCATCTCCAAGCATTACTGGGGGTTGAAAATTCTAAAATGTAAAAAGATGAGTCATTGAACGTGGTTCGTGAGACAATCACGAAAAGGTGTTGCAGATCTTCGTGTCTTAAAAAAAACATAATTTCTTTAATACAGTACTTTGTCAAGTGAAAACGATAATTTGTTTATGTAATGTGGCATATTTTTATTCGTACTAAAAATATTATATCAAAGTTATTTTATCTAGCTCTTTCAAATTTAATTCGATCAACTCCAACAACAGGTATTATTTCATTTAAAAAGATCTATTCATGCTTGTTAAAAAAGAATAAACATAAAGTGTTAAAGTATCCATACCTAAATACGTTACCATATTTCTTACTGAGCTGTTTTAGATCCAAGTAAGGTTGTTTGCTCAGGAAAGGAAGATATCCGACGATGGGGAGACCATAAGGGCCAGGGGGATAGTTCCTAGGACGAGTAGAAATCCATCGAAGAAACAAGAAACTACAAATACCTAAAAGTATTACTGTTCCATTAGCATATTCAAACGGCTTCCAAAACGTTTCAGCGAAGAGACTTTGCGTCATGTTAAAGGTGAGGGCTGCACTCCGAATAACCGGCTCTATCAGTGTTAGCTCGTGATGTGCTGGTTTGTACACGTATTTTAAGGTAATGTTGATAGTTGGAGTCAATTAGCTAGCTGTTTTTCCCATGAGGTACCAGTTTGAAGGAAACTCGTTTTAAATCCGACAGTTTCTATTATAGCTCGCAAAAAAAACCAACCAAAATTTATATTAAAGATTGAAATAATTAATTCTAAAAGTTATTATATAATACAATACTAGTTACTTTTTTAATTTTTGACTTGTTTTTAAA